TCTGACAGTAGTCTGTCCAGGAGAAAGCCCCTTCTCCAGCCCTCGCTCCAGTGCCAAACAGCTCAGTTCTTCCCTGTATGTCTCTGGCGCCCCTGAATCTACCTCCCCTCCAAGCTCAGAGAGAGTGAGTCCAGTATGTCCATGTGCAGGCCCTTTAAGAACAGGTGCCTGGGGCTCCAGCCACCTCAGCCTCCCTGAGCCTCAGTTCCCACTGGTTTTTCCAGCCAAAAGTTATGGGGATTCTCTTCCTGGCAGTGGAACCCTGAACGGGGCGCCTGGTGTGGGATGGGGACCCCTCAGTCCTCAGGAAGGACCTTCCCAGCCGAGGTGTCCCTCCTGATTTTTATCTGCCACATGTGGGTTTGGGACCAGCCCGTTGTGTCTCCGCCCCTCCTACCAGTCTGGATGTGGCTGCTGCTTTAATTCCATAGTTGTAGGACTGCCATTCAGCTTGATTTCAGGCGGTTTTGAATGATGGTTGTTCTGTAGTTTAGTCGTAACTTTGATGTGGTTGTGTGAGGACGCGATACCGCATTTACCTACGCTGCCATCTTGACCGGAAGTCTTAAACTTCATTTTAAATGTGTGTGTGCGGGGGGTTTCAATACTCATAGTATCTGCTCTATAGTAAAAAAATAATAATAACAATTAAATAAGCCCCTTCCCCAATTATCTGATTATATGTTTACATTCACTAAGAGGTTTCTTAAATCATGCATACCGGTACAGCTCCACTCTAAGGGCTGCTGAGATAGTCCTGCATACTGAGGACAAACAATTGTGGCAATCATAGCAGAAAGGGTTTTGGAACTCCTAGTTCATGAGATTGTTTCAATATATATCCCTGGGACACACACTGTCTCCTGTGTCTCAAGATAAGTAAGGTAATTATAAATTCAAGCAAAAGAGATGTGTGTGTGTGTGTGTGTTTAATCCTCACTCAAGGATATTTTTCCATTGATAAGGCTAAACAAAGGATATTTTTAATTAAATTATTTTGAATCCCCCAAATGTGCCTGACTACATGTCATATAGGTTAGAATTTATTAAGATTGATCAACAGTTGGTTTACGGGTCAATATTTATTCTTTCTATTTAATCTACATCAATATAAAAATGAGCAATCTGTTTAAGCACTTTCAAAAGTGCCGGTTTGGTTCAGCGGTCAGACCATCAGTCTGCGGATGCAACAGTCCCGAGTTCAGTTCCCACTAAGGGTGCATACCTCAGTTGTGGTTTGTCCCCAGCCCTGGTTGAGGTCGTGTGGATGGCAACCACTCGATGTGTCTCTCTCACATCAACATTTCTCTCTCTCTCTCTCTCTGTCTCTTTCTTCCTCCCACTCTATCTGAAGATACATGCAAAAATGTCGTTGGATGAGGATTAAAAATAAGAAAAAAAATAGTGTGCTATCTAGGTTCTGAGTTTGTTTTTTTAAGGTTCCCCTTATATCATGTATGCCTATAATGCAAAATCTAAGAAAAACTGGCTCTAGAGAGCTAGAATTTATAAAATTTAAAGTATGTCTTTGATACATTTGATCTGAAATAAAATCAGAAATCTGAGCATATTCTTACCAAGAAAACCTCTGTGCCTATATAATAATAAAATATTTGTTGTTACTTTTCTGCCTAAAACACAAACAGTAACTCTGCAAAGCAAAATAATTACTTCTGGAAATTATATAATAGGATAAATGACTACTTAGTTTTCACATGTTAACAAAACGGATAATGCCTATATGTGTATTAACGTTACAAAGTCACTATATAGCAGAAACATGCAACCAAAGCCAAAATTATTTTCAAATATCCATTTTAAAACTTAAGGTAACTTGGAAATCTTTTGTAAGACAATATTATTTGTAACGTAGGCTCAAACATTTCAATTCCCAGGCCACTGCCAATGATTTCTATTTTAAACTAACTACAAGAAGGAAACAAGTCAAGCTACTTTTTCATGAATAAGTAACCTCAAGTTAATTATATAGCTCAGCTCCCACATTTAGAACAAGTTTTAACTAGGAGGGTAGCATACCATAATAGTCAAATACCAGCAAAGTAATGGGCAAGACAATACAACCTAGCAAATGAGTTACTATAAAGAGATCCACTGTTTCTCACCCAACCAAGGATCTCTCTTATACAAACTTCCCCTCTTATCCCTCTATCCATTTATCTTTCTCTAGTGGGTCATTTTATCAACATTATAACACTTTAATATTGTGAATAAAGATTCTTCCAACACCATATTCCCATTGCCCTATTTCCTTAATTTACAGCAAAATTCCTCAAAAAAAACTGGACTCACAACCTTCATTTCACTCTCAGATTCTTTCTTAAAACCACATCAATCATGCTTTCATCCCCACCACTTCACAAAAATTGTTCCTATATCCTGGCCGGTTTGGCTCAGCGGTTAGAGCATTGGCCTGCGGACCAAAGAGTCGTGGGTTCAATTTCGGCCAAGGGCATGTACCTCGGTTGCAGTTCATCCCCGACCCCTCTGGGGTCATGCAGGTGGCAACCAATCAATGTTTCTTTATTTTCTTTCTTTCTTCTTTCTTTCTCCGCCCCCCACCTCTCCCTCCCACCCTCCCTCCCTCCCACTCTGTCAAAAAAAGAGAGAGAGAGAGAGAGAGAGAGAGAGAGAGAGAGAAAACTGTTCCTATCAAAGTAACCAGCAATGTTCTTCTTCCATTTTATTGATCCTTACCTTCTAAATATATCCAGAATACACTGCTTCTCATCATTTCCACCACTAGCCCTTAGTCAAAGCCATGATATGTCATCTCTTTTCTGTACTAATCTAGTAAGCCACCCAAACCAGACTCCCTATTCCCACAAAACAGAACATTCATATAGCAGGCAAGAGTAATCCTTTCCAACCTAAATCAGATCGTGTCACTTTTCTGCTCCAAACTTCTCATGACTTGCCATTTCGCTTGGAATAAAAATCAAAGTTTTTATGATAGCCAAAAAAGCCTGTCCACAATCTAGCCCCGCTGCCTGTCGCATCCTCCGCTTCTGCTCTCACATGCCACTCCAGCTACATTGGCCTCCTTGCTTTTGCTCAAACATCCTAAGCATATCCTGCCCCACAGCCTTTGTACTTGCTCTTCCCCATCCTGAACTCCTCTTTCCCTGGGTATCTGTATAATTTCTCTCTCCCATCATTTAGGCTCAAACATCAGCTTATCAGGGAGGACTATTCTTACTATCATATATAAACTAGCAACTCCCTACCCATATTGTCCCTCCCTCTCAATTCTCTTTTCTGCTTTATTTTTCTTCTTAGCACCCATTAGCACCTGACACTGAATCTAAGTATTAAATCATTTACATCTGCCTTCCCCCATACTAAAATGCAACCAAGCACTACTAGAGAAGTGATTTTGATTTATTCAAAAAGCATCACAAAGAAGAGTACCTGGCATTTAGCCTGGTACATATTTGCTGAATGACTAAATAAATAATTGCAAGTCACTATGCTACAAGTTTTATAAAGATTAGCTCATTTAATGATCAAAAAAACTATATAGAGGTACTATTATTATTCCAATTATACTAATGAGACAAAGACACAAGAGATTAAATAACCTGTATGTCACAAAGCTTTCCTGTGACTATTAAATGAGATCAAGTTACAACATACAAATGAAATACTTAACAAAATGTTTGGCACATAAAATACCTAACATTTATGGAATACTTTTTTTTTATTTTAATCCTCTCCTGAGGACCTTTTTTTTTTTTTTGCATTTATTTTCAGGTAGAGTGGGAGGAAGAGAGGAAGGAAGAGAGAGAGAGAGAGAGAAAAAAACATCCATGTGAGAGAGACACATCGACTGGTCACCACCCACACGACCCCAATCAGGGGTGGGGACAAACTGCAACCAAGGTATGTGCCCTTAGCAGGAACTGAACCTGGGACCCTCCGGTCCACAGGCCGACATTCTAACCGCTGAGCCAAAGTGGCCAGGGCTATGGAATACTTATTACATGTCAAACAGTAATGTAGGCTCTTTCTGTGTATTTAATCATTTAATTCTCACATTGTTTAATAAGTGGTTGCTATTATTATTTTCACTATTTGTTATTTATCAGGGTACCAACGTTAACTCAATAGAAGTCATAAAAGATGCTGCTGTGAGAAGAAATTCCACAAACTCCAACTTTTACTCTTCTCAGAAAAATGTTTAACATGTGCTTAAAAAACAATGTTTTGAATATTAGCACTGGAAACCAAATCAAAATTAACTGAATTCATACCATAAACAGACACATCATTAACTGTATATTTGCTCGCTCTCAGTTCTAAAAAGCCCTGGCCGTTTTGACTCAGAGGTTGGAGCATCAGCCCACCGACTGAGTTTGGTTCCTGCTAAGGGCATATACCTTGGTTGCAGTTTGTCCCCTGCCCCGGTTGGGATTGTGTGGGTGGCAGTCACTCGATGTGTCTCTCTCACATCAATGTTTCTCTCTCTCTTCCTCCCTCTCTCCCTCCCATTATTAAAAAAAAAAGCCCGCTAACATTCAAAGACAAAATAGTCATAGATTTTCATTACCAAAAAAAATCTACCCCTGTCAAAACTCTGGTTGCTACTCCATATGGCACCATATTATGGTTAAAGCATATTTTTCATTATACGCAAAATTATCTGGATTAAAGTAGATCTTTTTAATGTTTAAAACAGAACTTTTTTATACCAATTATTACCCAAATCACCAAGTTTACCTAATGTAAACAGCCCTCTGTTTTAAAAGTCAGTTTTATTACCAAAAATAAATGTTGAAATGACTGCCTCTGAGAAAATAAAGTAGTGAATTTCTTTTATCTTTGAGTTAAAGTGAAAGCCACAGAATTCATGAAATTTAATGAATATAATTTTGTCAGCTCAACATATCTTTTGGGTTTTGATTTATAGCTCCACCTGTAGATACTCATTGTTGATTAACAATTAACATGAAATATTATGGGTAAAGACCCCTGAAACTTACGGTGCAATTATGGCTCTAGCAGGTCTCTTTGTAGACTGTACTTGTGAAAGCCAACCTTCCAGCTGGGCATTCAGCTGCGGTCCTATAAAAAGAGAAAGAGGGAAACTGGAGTCAGCAAAGCAATGTACTATAGATAACCATACAAGACACAAAAGCCTTGCTGAACCTATCTGGGACTAAAATAGCTTAATGGACAATGGGGTCATCAGTTTGGATGTTAATACTTGCAACTTAACCAACTACATACAAAGTCTCTAGCAAGCAATATGGCAAGGCCACACATACTGATTAAACAAAACTTGCTTTTATCCATTTGCTTAGTTATTTAGAACAGTCTTCATTCCAGAACAACAATATGATCCAGAATTGGGGAGGGGGGCGATTTAAACAAAAATAAAATGAGAAAGAGAAAACCATTAGTATATGAAAAGAAAACAACTGAGTAAATATTTATTTTAGAGCACCAAAACTTGCTTTAATCACTAAAATCACATCTATGGAGTGATCACTTCCAACCTTTTCTTCTATCCATTCCAGCCCCCTACTCCTATGATCATATCAACCAGTAACTACATTATCTCAAAAATCTCATTTCAAGCATCCTACTCTCTTCACTTTCTATCTTTCCAGTTCACTCCTAGAAATCTGTTGATTCAAAGACTGCTCTTAAACTGTCCCAGTCTCCTGCACTAACCTGTCCCTTTTTTTACTAGATCATTATCGTTAGCATGCAAATATGAGATATTAGCAGACTGAATTCCCCCCAACTACTACCCCAGTTCCCACTGTCCATCATTCCCTACCACCCCAGTTCCCACTGTCCATCATCCCCTTTCTTCTTTTAATCTTAAATTATTCTTTATTGATTTTTCAATTTTTTTAATTTCTCACTATCTAAAATACATTATTTTAAGTGTTATAAAAAATGAGAAATATTAATACAGTTGTCCCTCGCCACTTTGCGCTTCCTTTCACGGCTTCACTCTATCGCGGTTTTTTCAAATACAGTATATAGTGTTTGTCATTATGGGATAGTACAGTATTTGAAAAAACCGCGATAGAGTGAAGCCGCGAAAGTCGAAGTGCAAAGTCGTGAGGGAGGACTGTGTATAAATAAAGAATCCTACTTCGCGGAAATTCATTGATCGCGGTAGAGTCTGGAACTGGTTACCTCTATAAAGGAGGGCCGACTGTAAGAACTGATATGCATATAGGTGTAACCAATGGACGCTGAGAACAATGCAGTGAAGTGAGGGCGGTATGTCAATGAGGGGGGATACTTTCTGCAATACTTTCAATAAAGATACATGTAAAAAAAATTATGCCAGTTTAGAATAAAAATAAAAACACCCTCTTCTTCTTGCCCTGGCCGGTTTGGCTCAGCAGTTGGAGCGTCGGCCTGCGGTCTGGAGAGACCCGGGTTCGGTTCCCGCTAAGGGCACGTACCTCGGTTGCAGTTTGTCCCCAGCCCTGGTTGGTCGTGTGGGTGGCAGCCACTCCATGTGTCCCTTCACGTCGATGTTTCTCTCTCTCTCTCTTCCTCTCTCTCCCTCCCGCTCTATCTGAACAAAAAAATGGGAAAATGTCCTCGGGTGAGGATAAAAACAAAAAAAAAACCACCACCCTCTTCTTTACTTCTTACCTAGCCTGAGACTCAATCATTCCCTTGCCTATCACCTCACACCTTTGCTCCTCTCCTCCTCCATCACAGCCAAAAGTTCAAACCAACTTTCCACTTAACACAGTACCTCCACCTGAACAGCTGAATGGACTGAAAAGAAATATAACCATATGCACTTTGAAACTATACCCATAAATTTCAGCAAATCATGAGCAAGGTTCAGAAATCATACCACATTAACCGACTGAATTTGCTCCATTGTTAAAATACACACTTATCTCATATAGCTTGCTTCTCCTTTTACCTTAAACCTTCATTCCCTCCTCATTTCAAGCAGATGATCACACTTCATTTCCTCGAGGAAAAACAAGCTCATGTGGGTGACTGATGATCCTGGTTTGCCCAGGACTTTCCCAGAGTTAGCAATGAAAGTCCTGCATCCTGGGAAATCTCAGTCCCAAGCAAACCTGAACATTAGTGACTCTAAATTCAGAAGAGAACTACTTCCTCTTCCCACAATTTATTCTGCTTTTCCTCCTGTTTCAACAAATTATCCCTGCCCCTATCAAAAGCCAAACAAATCACTTCAACAATGGATCCACCATTTGTCTTACTCGAGGACTCTGTTCTTACAACTGGCCCAGTCTCCTGCACTAACTTGCCCCTTCTTACTAATCATTACCATTAGCATTCAAATATAAAATTCTAGCAGATTGATTTCTCCCCAACTACCACCTCATTTTTCTGGCTTTCTCTTTTTAAAATTTTAATCATAAATTATTTAAATGTTACAATAATCTAGATAACAAAAACCCATGGACAAACTGCACAAATAAATTAAATCTTAACATTCTATCTTATTTACTTAAGAAATAAAACATTAAAGACATAGTTGAATCCCTGCTCATCCCATTTATACACCTCCTTCCTTAGAGATAACCACTTTCTGATTTTACTGTTCATCACTGTATTATACTTTTACTAATATATGTATTCATAAATGTGTATTTCCTTCTGCATGTTTTAAATGTTATATAAATATACTATGCATGTCCTTCTACAATTTGTTCCAGTCACTTAACATCCTTTTTAAAAATTATTCATGTTGATATATGTAGCTCTAATTCATTCATTTTCAGTGCTGTAGAGTAGCTGTAGAGTATTGTAATGTATAAATATACCCAATTTATTCATCTTCCTGTTCAAAGACATTTTGATTGTTGCCACTGTCTCGTTGGTTTTTTTTTTCTCCTTCTCCCCCTCCACCCTCCTTCTCTCCCTTTCTCTCCTTCTCTCCCTTTCTCTCCTTCTCTCCCTTCCTCTCCTCCTCCCTCGTTGTTAATAGACAATGCTACAAGTCTCTCCTGAACATGTGTTAAGAGTTTCAGTGGGATTTATCTAGAAGTAAAAGTACTGAATCATAGGGCAGGCACATCTTCAACTCCACTACAACATTGCTAAATTGCCCACTAAAGCAGCCAGATCAATTTACTCATCAGTGCAAGGGCAAATAAAAATAAGTTTAATTTTCCCTGTTAACAATAAGGGAAGAAAATCACAAGCCACACTTTCTTTAGAGCATTTTCTTTAGAAAACTTGTAATTGTACATTCTTGCTCTGCACCTTTCAAGAATATATAAACCTTTATAAAAGCTAAATAAGCTTTTAACCAGCAACCCAGGACTGTCTTTCTCAAGGACCTGGTGGCCATCTCTTTGAAATGTGATCACCAATGAAAATAGCACTAGTTTCTGTGGGAGGACGGGAGCCTAATATGAGCGGGCCACCTAGCCACACAGGTGATTTCAAAATTTCCTCCTGTTGCCCTGGCCAGTTTGGCTCAGTAGTTAGAGCGTCAGCCCACAGACCAGAGAGTCCTGAGTTCAGTTCCCACTAAGGGTGCGTACCTTGGCTGTGGTTTGTACCCGGCCACCGTTGGGGCCGTGTGGGTGGCAGCCATTCGATGTGTCTCTCTCACACTGATGTTTCTCTCTCTCTCTTCCTCCCTCTCCCACTCTATCTGAAGATAAATGGGGGAAAAAAATTTCCTCCTGTCATAAAAAACATGTTTATTTTTCCTTTAGATAAAGCCGGGTAGCTAAAGACAATATATATGGTCACTCCAATTACCAAGTGCATTTAGGATAAACTAAGTGTGACAAATGTTGCCATCAAGTCTTCTTACTTGAGCACTATCATAGTTCTTGAGAACATGTATGTAACAACATAAAAAGGCAAGTTCTCTGTAGGTTTCTGCTCTTAACAGACTGCCTGTAATGTGTATCACATTTACGATTAATGCTTAAACAAAAATAAAATTGTGTCTGGTCAGAGTGGCTCAGTGGATTGAGCATCATCCCATGGACTGAGAGGTCCCGGTTCAATTCCCAGTCAGGGCACATGCTCAGGTTTCCAGCTTGATCCCCAGTGGGGTGCGTGCAGGAGACAGCCTATCGATGTTTCTCTCTCACATCAATATTTCTATCTCTCCCTTCCTCTCTAAAAAATCAATAAAAACATATCCAAAATAAATAAATAATAAAATATAATTGTTTTCTTTCTCTTCTAACTTTGAAGAGAGGTTTTCCGAGAAAGCAAGAGGTTGTGGTTTAAATTATATTTCTCCAACATGAGCAACGGTTAAAAATTCCCATTTCCCTAAATCTTTATCAATATTAGATACTCTCAGAATTTTTAATTACTTCCAATTTGATGGGTAAGAAATGGAATCCCTTTGCTTCATCTCATTTATATTTCCTAAATACCACTGAGGTTAATTGTACGTGTACTGATTTGGAAATCCTTCTGTATATATTTAGGACTATATTCATAAACAAGTCACATGACAGCCCATCTGTAAATTGCCAAAGTACAAAAAAAAAGTCTGATTCAGCAATTAAACAATGTGGTTTCTTTTAAAACTTAAATTTATAATAACATTTACCAAAAAACTTATATGAAATAATCTCATTATTAATCAATGAAAACTAATAAATTTTTAGCTGCATAATAAATTTCACATCAACTTAAAATAAGTACTGCTCTAAATATTTCCATTATTACAGGAAGTTCGCAAAACAGAATTTGAAAAACCTTGTAAGAACAAAGAAAATAACTGGGTGTCTCGCAATTCAGACATACTACTGCCACCAACTTCACTGATTTTAAGCACTAAATCAAGCTTTCTTATCAGTCCTCCTGAAAAAGGACCAATTTTGCCCTGGCCGGTTTGGCTCAGCGGTTAGAGCGTTGGCCTGCGGTCTGGAGAGACCCGGGTTCGGTTCCCGCTAAGGGCACGTACCTCGGTTGCAGTTTGTCCCCGGCCCTGGTTGGGTCATGCGGGTGGCAGCCACTCGATGTGTCCCTTTCACGTCGATGTTTCTCTCCCCACCCCCACCCCCACTCTATCTGAACAAAAAATGGAAAAATGTCCTCCGGTGAGGATAAAAAATAAAATAAAA